ACTGAAGACTCTCCATGTAGGGGCGCGATGCACGTTAAATCTGTCGAGAGCTCAAACGTCCTCTCGTTGGTGTGGTGTGGTAGTTAGGAGAGGGGGTGCCTGCTCAGGCGTCGTCCGCATCACTTGACCATGGTTCAAAATGACGCGGACCGTCCCCAAAAGCCCTCGTGTAGTTGAACAGTGGGACGTTAATATTCACTCACTCACCCGTTGGTGCGGTAGCTAGGAAAGGGTGTGCCTGCTCAGCTGTCGCCCTCGTCACTTGACCATGGTCCAAAGGAGGTCCGTCGCCAAAAGACCTCGTGTAACGGAACAGTGCGACGTTAATATTCACTCACTCACTCACTGCTTTGAAAAGCAAACTCAAGGGCTATTGGGGACGGTCCTCGTTATTTTGATCCTCAGTCGTGACAAAGATGACACCTAAGCTGACACCCCTCTCCAAACCACCACATCATTTCAACGGGAGGGCATTGGGTCTTGATAGATTTAACGTGCTTAGGCATCCTCTACACGGCACCAGGCTCCTTTAAGGGAACTAGAACTCAAACCCATGACACTCCTGGCACGAGTTCGAGACCATAGCCACTAGACTATCGCGTCCAAACTATTGCGAGGCCCCGGTAGCCCAGTGGTGAAGATCACGGACTTGTAGACGGCGTGTCAAGAGTTCGAGCCTAGTATAAAGTCGTGCAAAGGGGGCTGATGTATATTAAATGTGTCTCAGCTCAAACGTCCTTTCATTGGCGTGGAGGGGAAATTAGGAGAGGAGTGAATGCCAGCTCAGGTACACTCGTCACTTGACCGTGGTTCAAAGTGACTAGTTCCGCCACCCAAAGCCTTTGTATATATAGCTGAATAGTGCGACGTTAATATTCATTCGCCCTCACAATTGTTTCGGAAGATAGCGAACAATAGAAGAAAAGTGCACTGTATCATAACAAATTACAAAGGATTAAATAAATAATGAAAATATGAGAAACTAGAAGCAAAAATATATGCAGCTACTCTTGGGGCGAGTGTGTTTACCTGTCTTTTTCAACCGTATAGTCGTGAGACGGCGTGACCAGTGTCAGCTGGCGAGTGTTGCCGCACGTGCTGATGCAGGGGCTAGAGCTGTTCGTGGTGGGTGTGAGTACTGCAGTCACTGACAGCGTGAGGCAGGCGGCCGCCGTCATGCTGGTGGGGGTAGTGCTGGTCGAGGGATTATTCCTGGGGAAAATATATGGTTTGTCAGTAAATCGTAAAGACTCAATGAACACGGTTCTTTGACAAATCGAGAGAAGGAGCCATTCGGGTTTCCCAAATGAACGAATCAGAAGAGTTTTCAGAAGGTATTAAAAAAATTCAGTTGCGACTTGAGTAAAAATGAAAAATAAAGATTTATATATAATAATTGCATATTTCAAGTTCTATCAAAATTTGGAGTTTTTTTGTTAGTTTTATTATGAATTAAGAGACTGAAAATAATCTGCGTTTGCGTATTTTTGTGTTTTTATTTTTTTAAAAAAAATCTTTATTCGAAACAATACATTGAAAATATGCAATATAATACTAAATTACTCTTTTATTTTTAATTTTGTGAGATAGAACGATACACATCGATGATCTTTAAATGTAGTTCTTATCCAATTCCTAAAAAGTTACCTAACTCTTTTACGACGGGAAATCTCTTCTCAAATTCGTTTTGGAGCAAAGCATTGATGTGAATAAATTGCAACATATTACTTTTTTAATGTGTAGCGATACCATCTATATAAAGCCAGTAACTACCACCGCACCATGGTGATCATTTTGGTGTAGTGGTTAAGTTACTCGGTTTCGCATCCAAAGGTCCCGGGTTCTGTTCTCCGGATAAGCACGCCACTTTATTGGTGACCCTGGCTAAAATCAGAAAAAGGCAATCTTCTGTACTGTCGTGGCACCATGTATCCACCGCAAATGCAACCAAAAAGTCATCGCATAGTGACGCAATCCTCAAGCCGTTAGGTACGAATGACGCAACCAGCACAGCCGTCACAACTAGTGATGCAGCTGCTAACACGCTCGATATAACAGCTACATCGTTCGTTCGCCTAACCACCAACTCACTGGTAGGGGAGTGTGTAGCGATACCATCTATATAAAACCAGTAGTTACCTTCGCGCCATGGTGATCATTTTGGTGTAGTGGTTAAGTTATTCGGTTTCGGATCCAAAGGTCCCGGGTTCTGTTCTCCGGATAAGCACGCCATTTCAAATGTATTAGATTTTTTCAAGAAGGCGTGATGCTTTTTCAATTTGAAATCAGAGATTCAATAGACAAAGACTCTGTCTATCTATTAACTTTTAGAGGACGTTCCAGCCACCAAAAAAATGGCCCCTTAAAAGATGGCGATAGCGATAGCGATAACGTACTTCTTTCTTTTCTAAACAGCTGACGAATCAGTATGTGGTCTATGACAGTTACGGAACATTATTTGCTTGATCGGTTTCTTTTGAATTCAGAAGAGGAGAAGGATATAATTCCCTCTTCCACGTTTATTTGGAAATTCTTCGTTTTCCCCCCTCTTATGTGCGATTCCTCAACAGTGGATTTATTCTTTACATATTTATTTTTGTAATTGGTTCTTGTCCTCGCCTTTTTCTCATCCTTTTTAATTTTAACTTCACTTGATTGATTGATTTTTCAAATTGCCTAAGTGGAAAAGAGGAATCCTCATTAAAAAAATTCTCAAAAACTTTTCATTGATTTAAAAAATGAAATTTTTTGTGATTCTGATTGTGAGTTAGAAAATGAAGATGAGTTCTGAAACCATCTTGGAACTTTTGAGCTGTTGAAAATAAGGTGAACAAAATGAAATTATCTGCGACCAGTAGTGCGCACACAGGAACTTTTCAAGGGGGATCTAGGGTCGAAAGTCCACCATTCTCGTATCATGCACCGACACCCTGCCAAACATATTCTTTTGATTTTGCCGACTTTTAGGAACGAAAATCAGTAAAAATTAATTATTGAATAAATAATTAGCATTAATTAATAAAATTAATTATTAAAAACAAATACTTAACTAATACTTTACGGATTATATTTTCTAGGATTATAATCAATAAAAAAAAAATCAAAAGCTTTGGGGGAGTCTAGACCTGTGACCCCCTTGTGTGTACCACTGTCAGGGACAAAGAGCCACTGAACTGTGTGCACAAAAAATAACAGATTATTTTTACAAATTTTTGCAAAAAAACATTAATTTCTTAAAACTTTGCTTTAAAAACAATTTTAAATATTAAAAACATATTTTGAAAATGATATTCAATTCACTCTGCTTTCAAAAATCTTTATTTCCTTCCTCAAAATTATTAAATCCTTATTAAATCAGTAGTTAATATTCTTTGTTGAAACGCCAGGAAAATATTCTTTCTAATCGTGGCTAAATAAAAAACTAAAAAAAAAAAAATTGTTACAAAAAATACAGAAATTTGTCATAGATATTTCAAATTATATATTTTAGTTTTTCAAATTCATTATTTATAAAATGAAATAAACAAATAAATTTTTTTACTCTAACAATAGACTCATAAAATGTTGAAGTCCGAAATTGAAAAAAAAAGTTATTGATTGGGTTTTTTTCTTTTTAAACTTTAAAGAAAATGAGTGCTACACGCTCATTTCAATTCTTGAACATAAGAAAAAGACCTAAGAGTTTAAAAGGCACTAGAAGCAAGCAACAACTTTTTTTTTATCTTTGTTTCATATTTTACTTCTAAAATTCTACAGTATTGCAATTCCTATTTTTCTAAAGAAGTTCTTTTTTTAAAAAGAATTATAAAAAGTTCCTTGTTTTTTTTCTCAAAAATAGTAATAATTACGAAAGTTAAATACACTACGAAAAATGGTGCAAAATGCACTGAATTCTATCTGAAAAGCAATGAATGTAACCGCAATGTAAAGTTTTACGGAGTACTTTAAGTATTGTGAAATTATTTCCTTTCACATATTTAATTTTAATTTTTTATTTATTTTTCTGTCTGTTGCAAATTACACGTGATTAGTTTTAGGCATAACTTTTCAATATGGTTCTGTTTTGCTATTATTTCGAAAATTTCTGCTGTACGAGGAAGGTTGGATCCGTAAAGTATACTTAACCCTAATTTTGCTGGTCTAAATTCAGCAACAGCTTTAGAAATCATAATAGGTCTCCATTTTAGTTCATTGACTCTCTTGGTTTCTTACATTTTAAAGTTCTAACTCTGCTTCCTGCTATACATCCGCTTATTTAATTCTTGTACAATATACTTTTCCACCATTTTTTATAGTTATGTTTCTTGAAATCTGTTTTCTAACTTCTAGCTTTGTTAGTTGTATAATATAGTATTGTCATTTCATTATACTATGTATTTTTTCATTGTATGATACTATATATATATGTTCATCATCTTTTTTCCCCATAATTATTAATTAGTCACTTTTTATGTAAAATAATATACCCTCCTCCCCCTAATTTTTTAAAATTTATTTTACAAATTCCACGCACTACAACAGCACCTATGCCACTAGTGTACGCGTTCTGCAATGAAAAATATATTGCTTTGTTGTTCTGAAGCTGGTTTACTGATTAAAACGAATTCACACAGAATCAGATCGCTCTTGTGAATTATCACGATAAACATGTTATAAAAGTTTTTAGATTGCTAAAATACCATTACTATTACCACTTCCATGGGCTTGTCATATATAAAATGTAATACATATCTGGATAAATTTTGTGCAGTTTATAATTAAAGTCGCATTGTAGCTTTAGTGTCGAAGTACATTATTATTTCATTCAATACATAATTGTTGTATGAGGGGGCGCGATGAAAATTACCACTGAAAATTAGGTCACAAACATGGAAAGTTTAAGAAGTCTTATTTCTGCCACATAAAACCTAGAGACCACACATCTGCTTTCTTGCATATCAATAGTAACAAGCAAAAATAACAGTCCAACAGCATATATGAAAAGGAAAAATGCTCGTTGTGTCCCTGTAGCGCAATAGATAGCGCATTGGACTTATAATCCAAAGGTCGTGGGTTCGAATCCCACCTGGGATGACCTAATTTCTGAGAATGTGATTTTTTTACTGTACTATTTTATTATATTAATTAAATTTAATTAATGAATAAAAGTAACAAAAAAAAAATAGTCCAAAACCCTATATAGAAAGGAAAATGGAAAATTTGCAAGGAAAAGCGCTTTACTTATTTTGTTACACAATATTGCGATTCTGTGTCCTTTGTATATACATATTTATATTAATGGTAACTATTTAATAAAAAGTAACTAAAATAAAATTTTTCTTTGTTGACCTAAGGAATTGACTTAATTTTTTAAATATTACTTGTTTGGTTTGACTCCCTACTATATGCATTGTATTAATATTTGCGTAACTATGCTTTTGTCATCGTTTAAGTACAAAATGCTTTCTCTCATTTCTGAAATTCATGTCTCTCAGATGATTTCTCGAGGAGTTAAGGAAAAAAGAACACCTATTGTTTTCGTTTTGTACACCAGTATATGCGTATTTAAAGGATTTAATTTTAAGAAGTAGATAGATCGATAGTTTGTCGATGTCTCATTTCGAAGTAATATAAGGGCTTGAGGATGACTTCGTAATTTAAATAGCGATCACAAGTAACGAGGACAATAGTGGAGCTGGAGCCTTCTACTTTCCACACGTCGGCAACCTAAGGACATTGATTAAACGTTCATCAGCCCTGCTGCATGTTTTACCCCCTAACCAGGATCCTTGGATATCAAAACATGTGGAGACTACAAAGTGACACAATTTAACGAGTGACAGTTGACAACATTTATAGTTTTAGGATATTCACATTTTATAGTATAATCCGGAACGCCTATCCTGCCATTCATTACGCTTTTCTGTCAATGTAAATCATTTATCATAATTTTTAGCATACATAGAAAGAATTATCAAAGGTAAATATAATTTTAATTTTTGAAAAGTGTTTGTTACGAAAATGGAGACTTAATTTTAGGATCCATTAAGTGTCACGAATTCTAATGTATCAAAATAAAATGAATTATGATAGGAATATAGAAAATAAATGTCTGTTAGCATCAAATATTTAATTCCTTTACGAAAGAAAATACGAGAAAATTCTTATGAGTACTATGCATTTCGTTAATATACAAGGTGTCCAGCCTTAATGTGACCCAATAGCTAATTCCCGAACCGTTCGGTTTAGATATGCACTTTCAATTTGAAAAAAGTTTTAAAACAGGAATGTTTTTACGTGTCTTTCGAACAAAAAATCCCCCATTTACAAAAAAATTACAAAATTTAATTTTTTTATACGGTCTTCAGGTCCTATTACTTATGTTTAGGAAAAGATGCAGTACACAAAAACAAAGTAAACACAAAAAGTTTCATTTTATTACGATAAAAACTGGCCCAGTTATAGAACTTTGAAAATCATACATTTTATCCATTTTATCCGCAATTTTCAAGAAGCTAGTAGGGGGCCGTCTCCAAAGTGAAATTAGTTGGAACTCTGCCTGGAAACTTTTGCTCTTGCACGTCCCTCTTACGTAAATCGTTTTTAAATTTAAAAACGCACGTTAATAATACAATAATTGAGTACTTAAGAAATCAAATTTATTCTGTTTACGTGTAAAACATAGAAAAGATAAAATAATTTGAATGAAGGAAACATTTCAAAAGCAGTTTAAAAAAATAGACTTATATGCTGCGGCTTCAGTCTGATTCTGCGTTTTTGCTGATCATGACGAACATTAAAAATCTGTTGTGCAGTCGCTTGCAATTGCACACAGTCGTATTCTAATATTACGAATTCTAGTACGGGAGAACAAGATCTATACAAATGAAGAGTACTGCGAAATGGTACTGTTTTATGGACAGTGTAATCGAAATAAGAGAGAGGCGGCAAGACTTTATGCCATTAAATTTCCCACTGAAAGACAGCCATCTTATTGTACAATTGCCCGTGCTGCTCAACGCTTGTATAAAACTGGGAGTTGTCATAGGCGCATTCCCTTGTCTCGTGCCACACCTCGTGACTTCACCATTATTTAAGTTAATTTAGTCATTTTGATATAATAAAGCCCCTGATTCATGATTGCCGCATCATTCCACATTATGCTATAATTTGAACCGCAAATCCTGTATTAATTTGCTGCTATTTGTTAAAACAAGCTGTTTTAATCTTTTCGGTACAAGTTCTATTTCTTTAATTTAATTTTTATTGTTTGCCATACAGCAATACAAATTGTCAATCTATGATGTTTACTACGATGTTTTAATATTACTATGATGTTTTTCGCTTGCTCTTTCTGTAGATAGTGAATTACTGTTCTCTAAACTCAATTTATATACGACCCCCTTTTCTGAGCAACTCAGATGCTTCAAATTTATGTAAACATAACTCGGTCAGTTTTTATCGTAATAAAATGAAACTTTTTGTGTTTACTTTGTTTTTGTGTATTGCATCTTTTCCTAAATATAAGGGATAGGACCTGGGGACCGTATAAAAATTAAATTTTGTAATTTTTTAAAATGGGTTTTTTGGTTTGAAAGGCACGTAAAAACATTCTTTACCTGTTTTAAAACATTTTTCAAATTGGAAGTGCATATCTAAACCGAACGGTTCGGGAATTAGCTATTGGGTCATATTAAGGCTGGACACCCTGTATATTGTAAAAGAGAACATTCTCAAAACTCGAAGTGTCCAAAAGGTTAAGCTGTAAATATATATTTTTTTGGCCCAGTTTGTGGAATCTTTCGATTATGTAACTGTACCGGAGTGATCCTAATGACCAGTCTGATAGAGGGACTATGTGCAGCGAAAAGTAGAAAAAGTTATTTATGCATACGTGATTGGGATTGACATACACTCTGAATACTACCTTATATTTTATAACTGCATCTCTTGCGTTTGGAATTCTTTGATTTCGGAGTTGCCAATAATTTTAACATTGCCATGTCTTAGACAGTTGTCCTTAGGTGTTCAAAGTACAGAAAAATGAGAAGAAGTTTTAGCTACACTTTTGGATAGATTTAAGTAAATATATACTCAAACGTAAACAGTGATGTTATCTAGGACTAGAGATCATCCTTATCTTCACAGATTATGCGGCATCTGAATTTTTATTTTTGTCTACTGCCCCATTTGTAAGTTGCTACAATTTCCTCCTCTTACTTAACTGAATTCAGTAGCGCAACTGCCCATGAGGACCAAGACTTACTGTACCTATCTCAGTTTACGTGACCTTAGGTGCTGAGGTGCATATGCAGATGTTTCGGACAAGTGGTCAGTCTGACGCGAAATTCCCAGTGTTCAGTTTCCAAGCAAGCTTGGTACTCATTTATCGAACCACTCAAGGGATGAAAGGCTGAGTCGACTTTGCCCTGTCCGGGATTTGAGCCCGGACCTGTCCCGTGGAAGTGCGACACACTACCACTCAGCCACTGGGCTTTCCCTCTTACTAGAATGGTAAAAATTAGAATAAAAGATATTTTACACATAGTACAGAAGAATAAAAATGACATTTTAAATATTTTAAAAGTTTATGAATTATTTATTACCGTATATTCCGGCACATTACGCACCCACTAGTGTACATAGCGCGCACCTATACTTTTAAACATCATTTAAAAAAATTTTTTAGGTATATTCTACGTATAATGCACATCCACTTTTTTTTTAACGAAGAAACCAGAAATGTACATGGGCAATGCTTTTATCTTTTCAAGTCCTTTATTCGAAGTATTCTTTTGAACAACGGCATACTTCTAAAACTAAAACCTCGAAGCATAAGTAAAGAGAAGGTATGTGGGTATTAGGAGGAGAAAAAACTTTTACAATAGGAAGACAGATATTTCAGAAAGGGTGTGCGAGTGGACAGTAAAAGAATGGAATAAAACTAAATCTGACATAATTCAAAAGTCATTTAAAAAGAAAATGAATCGAACAATCTAGTAGGAACGGAAGATGTTTATCTGTTCCTCGAACAAAGTAAAAAATGAGAGCGAAGGTAAAGCAGAATTCGATGATTCGCCTGAAGATACAATAGAAGACAAATAGGATCAACTTTTCGTGTTATCCGGTAGTGAAAGTTCATAAGGGATATCATTTCTTTTGCCTAAACTGGATGTATACTATAGATATGTAGTTTTCTATGCTCATTTTATTTTCAAAGGTATCATTTTTATATTCGGGGTATAACTTAAATTTTGATTTTATTTTTTGGGACTTCATTCCCTGTTTTTTCCTGATGAATAGACTCGTTTATTGAAGAGGAGAAGATAAGACTCTTCTTGTCATGGTTCAATGCAAATTTACTGACGTTTAGTTGACAAACATAAAAAAAAAATCGGATCCACAAGGAAATACTTTTCGCAGCGATATTAACAAACTCTTCTGATCCCGCAACAACAAAGGTGAGGTGAGGGTTCCTTATACAATTATAAGATAAACAGAATAAAGGTTTTTATTAGAATCGAAACATTGAGAGATCCTCACCTGATAATTGGCATGGAGGGCTGCTGGGGATGTGCGGTGACCACAAGGGTCTGGGCGAGAGACGCTAGGATAGAGGGGACGTGTGAGCTGGACAGGGAGGCGATTGTGAACGATGAGGGAGAAGAGGAATGGATGCCTGAAGAGGGAGGCAGGTTGGCCGTCGGTGTGGAAGACAGCACCTGAAAGAGCAAAAATTCAATAATTTAAAAAAAGCAGATTAAAAACTATTTTTTTTTGTTAATTCGTCAGGTTGTTGTGATTCTTAAAAATATATATATTTAAAAAACAGGATTTTTTATTACATATTCATACACACATACAAATGAAAGGGAAAGGAATTAAAGATTGTTTAAAATTTGTACTATAATCTGCAAGCATGATTTCTTCAAGGGAAAATATTTACTAAATATTGAGATTCTTGTTACAATTAGACTAATTTATAAAGGTTTGGAAAATATTTGCCTAACTGGGAGTATTGTTAAACAGTTATTAATTGTAAAATTTAATAATTGTTATTGTTAAGTAGTTATTAAGTTATTCGGCTGTAAATC